CTTCTTTCAACCTACAAAATTTTTTTTTTTGTGGATGAATTATGTTGGGCTTTTCTTAACCACAATCCAAAAAAAACTCAGAGTCTCAATCCTTGCTGTCAATTTATTCCTGTGTATGTTTTTTTGGGGGGGTTACTTTTTCATCTTAATTTATGGTTTCTTCTCAATAGTTTGGGCTTGAATCTCTGGGAGGACGACAAATACTGCTTACTGATTGATGTTGGTCTGTTAAGTGAAAATGGGGTCAAGGGGGTCACATGAGTGTCGTGACCCCAATTTGCCTTTCCAAATTTAAACAATTCATCACTGACCCACAACCACAGGTATGGTGTCAATCTGAAGTGATACCAAACCAATGTGGTTACCAAAAACTAGAAAGAAAAAAATCTTGAATGCTCAGAGGACAGATTTATGTCCTGCCAAAAATTCCACAAGGATGACCCACAGAGACCTCCTGAAAAGCTGTTGTACCAGGTTAAAACTTAAAAGGTACATATGTCAAACAAGGAAACATTCTGTTTGTTTGTCGCCTTGCAGTGATTTGTTATGATGTTGAATAGCAGACCCCATGCTTGTATAAAAGTTTCCTGTAGGTCAGTTACGACATAGCAATGGTTGAGTTCAGTGGGTCATTAATGTTTATATTCATCATTTTTAAACTTTGATGCTCTTGTACGAATATATTTTAACTCAACTGCCCGCTGTCTTGAGACTGTTAAAAAAAATTCTGTTAATTGTTTTTTTCCACTTTATGGGGAGTAATTTGACACTAGTCACAATCATTTTAGGTTTTTTTTTCAGCTCAGAAAATGGTTCATTCATCAAGTGTGTTTTGGGAGTAAAATACATGTACTTTAAAATAGATCAAACGAGTCGCCCAGCAGACATGCAAATACATACTTGTTCAGAAATTGTGAGGACCACACATTGGTTGTGATAAGTTTTGCGGGACCAAAATCTTTATGGGGACAGCCGAAAGTCCTAACAACTCTGTCCACATTTTCCTACTACTTTGAATTCCCACAATGCAGCCAACGGCAGGGTAGGTATGTCATACTGAAACATATCTGATAACAATCAATAAGAAAGCAAAATCTTTCAAGTACTTTCTCCATATGCCTAAAGGCAGAAGACCTTGGATTTCTTAGAACCTGTAGATATAGTTTGTCCATCAAGACTGGCTAAGGCCTCACCTAATGGCCCTTTTTACATCTTTCTGGCTAAATTGCTATATAAACACACTTGTGATTGATTTGACATTGAATGACAGCTCCTGAGCCAAATTGCTATTGTAAGGGTGGCGAAAACATTTTCTTGTAAGTTTCCAAGAACTGGATATTCTTTTAATGGGGGTATTTGAAAGACAGCCTGGCCTTACAACTGATTAGTCCCTCCTCATTATATTGTGTTACTCAGCAACAAAAATTCCAGTCTGACAATGGATATCACAATAAGGATGCCCAATATTATAATTGAATTAAAAAAATAAACTATGTTTGATAGCCACTCACTCTTCTTCCTTTGATGGTAATTTTTTAGACTTGCAAATCTGAGGTTTCTTAAAAAGAGCAAAGAAACTCAAGTTGGACATCCTTTTTGTTCTGCTGCAGTCTGTTTTGAGTTTGTTTATATGTTTGTTTGTTGGTCCATTTTGTTCACTATTTATGTACAGTGAACAGGACCCCCCATAGTTAGTGTCCTGCCTCCCCTCCCTCTTTTTTTTTGAATTTCTATCTTCCTTTTTCTGTTTTTAAGTGTCCTTGTTTGCCCATTTTAAGGACATTATAGACCCCCTCCTCCTTTCACAAATCCATTTGGCTACAGACCCCAATCCGGCCACTGAAAGATTGACAACTAAAGTTCCCAGTCCTGTATTGGGATGACCACATCTTTGGCTTATTTAGCCAAACACCGAGCTGTGGGCAGACCTAACCAAAACGAAAACTTCCCCATTCCTGACATCTACCCATCGGGCAAAATAAGCCCGGCCCCAGCCTGTCATCGGATGAAAGGGGCTTTAGCCAAATTTGTTTGTCCAGTCTTGGGTTTTTGTCCCCCAAGAAGTTGTTAGCATAAACATGGCTTAATCCAAACACGGCCTTTTATAGTCGCTTATTTGGTCAAAATATGGGAGTGTTATTTCCCCCGTCTGGATTGTGGCTAGGTTAGCTTTTGTTCCATTCTTGCTTTTTCTGGCATTCATTTTTTCACACTTTTCAAACGTTGTTTATCTTTGATTTGGAAGAAAGGGGGAAAAATGCCATGAAAACACATTCCTCAGATTTTGTTTTTGAATTCTGACCAACAGGTATGGAGATATTTAGATGATGAGGGTAATGACCACACAATATAAATCTGACAGGCATTGTCACATGTATGGATTTATTTTGTCCTGTCTTGTTTGAAAGTCATTGTGGTGGCGATGAATGTCCATTTTCCCATAATACCAGTTTCAATAAGCAAGGCAGAATTTTGTGCCAGGTTGTTCTTGCATAGCGCCCTCTGTTGTCTATTTCTTGCAACAGGGTTGTTTATTTCTGGCTTTAAATGAGCCAAAGAAAGTGGGATTTTATTTATGTCTTTTGTAAAAAGCTGGTGATAGAAGGGAAGAAATATGGAGTTTAAACTGAGCCATAAATTAGTGCTGTTTTTTTAAATAATGAAACAGTTTAGTTTTTGTTACAAACAAGATATATATTTTTAAATGTCTGAAGGAGGGGTTGAGCCCTATTTTGCAGAGTTGAGTTGTTTAATCTTCACAAGTCAATCACATTCCAAGTGCAGTCTCAAGTGACAAGCTAATCTGTTAACCTTGACAATTTGGGCATTCTTTTGTCACTGCTCATCCACATGTTGCATTCGGCCAAACTTGTGATGCGGCTTGTGAATTGTGATTGACCTGTTTACTGATATTTTGAGAGTAACATCACATTTCAAAGTTTAATCAAAGTATGCTCTGAAACAGTAATCCACATCACTCAGAAAGGAGTACTAAAGAAAACAAATTGCCCTTTTGAAATATCTGTTAGACGTCTGTCGTGGCTTGATCCCTCTAGCTCTCCCTGGTTTTTGTGACATATTTCGAAGACTTTTGATTATTAACATCTTCTTTCACTGTCACACATTTAACTTATAAGCTGTACCAATACTCTACACATTTTATAATCACCAAATGTAGTCACCCAGATTTTTGTATAGACAAATAGTGACAGTTGAAAACACACGTGGGAGTTTGTATTTATTTAAACTTAGCAAATACTGCAACAAACATCCTGAAGGGCAGCAACACTTTATTTTATTGCAAGTACATGTTCATGTGCTCATACAGTCTGCTGGAGTCTGTCTGTGGAGAATGAGAATGAGAAATATCACGTTTTTACAACATTGATGATTGATAAATCATAACAGTGCTGTCATGATAGTAACTGACTTCTAGATATTTAAGAGCAACTCAGCTACCAAAGTAAAAAAAAAAAAAAATTGTCAACAGCAACTATATCCAATCAAGATTCCTGCCAATAAAAAACGCTGGGTTGGGTTCCAGGAAGGCGCCAGACATTGTTTCTGTAGTTTAGGAGGGAAATTTCCAATTAGCACTGGATGGGTTGACCCACTTTGGAGTGTGTTTGGTGTGTTATGAGTCATGTCAAGAAATTGGGGAGATGCAATCCACCTGTGTTTTAGTTAACATGGCTGGCAATAGAGCAGTGGAAGTACAGGTGTACAACTGAACATCATGTCCAAATTGTATCCTTTGAAAAAAAATTGTGTGTGCAAAGATTCAAGTGGGCAAAAATTCAGAATGCAAAATATAGTGAGAGGGTCAGTCTCGAGTTACTTTGGCAACAATTAGAAAAGAGAAGCCGTTGTTAAAATCAGGTCTACAGGTCGAGTAAAAAAAGCTGACTGAATTAGAAACAAAAATATTATAAAAATATGCGCCTTGCTCCATTTCATAAAAAAAAAATTACATAGGGATAGAGTACATGTTATTGACTAGTAGAAGTAACTGTGAACATTTCACTTAATTTGCGCACTCTATTCCCAATTTATGTCTATTTTAATAAAAATATCACAAAATTCAGCTGTCCACCACTGATCATTTACTGTTCTACGAATTGATGAATACTTATTAAATACAGTGAAACATGGATGTCGGTCACCTCCATGAATGAACGAAAACTTGCAAATAAAAGGAAAACAGACAAAAATCGTCATTAATATTTCAGAAAGAAGTGTTGACTTGTTCCTCATAATTATACAAAACACAAAAACTGACAGTAAAAATATTGTTTTAAACTTGACTCAAACTACTAAGATCTCATTTGAATGCCTGTGCGTAATCTGTAATTCTCACTCAGCTCAACAGCTTCCAATGGCATTCCATGGGCAGCTATAGGTTCTGTTAGTAACACATGCATATTTTCTGATAGCATAGATCAATTTCAGTTATTCTTTTTTTTCCCAGATGAGCAGAAGAAAATGCTCTTTTTAAGACATACTTCATTGGTGTATCAAATTTGATTGCTTTTTAACCAAAACAAATCATTAATCCAGGTTACTTTCTTTTTTACTCACCCTGTATAACAAAAGAGAAAGGTTTAAACATGGGTTGAAAAAAAAACCACACTGGCATTACTGAAAGTAGCTCTGTTGAGCTGCAGTAATTGATGGAAAATGCATAACACTCATTTAACACTGAGATACACCTCACAAATACAGCAGGAGCATTTACTCAGCACCTCGTAAGCATCAGCAACAAGAAACTAAAAGAATCAGTGTTGAGTTCATCTTTTTAGTTCTTCAGTTATTCGGCTTTCAAATGATAATTCAGATTCATCCCTGGCTTAAATATTGGAGGGGATTGACATCCTTTCTCTTTTTTGGGGAAGTATTTTGTAGTTATTTCAACTGCAGTTAAGTATCTCTGAAATGTATGATTTTTGTAAAATAATTGAGTTGATAACAATTTATTATTTTCTGTTTTCCTTTCTATGTAGTATCTACAGTGCCGGCTGAAAAGTTCAAGAGAGAAGGCAGGTAGGTACTAATGGTTGAAGATTTGAGAATTATTTGACATTTTACACAGCCAACCAAGACTCAGTTGGAAAAAAAAAACCTGTGCATGGAGGACAAAGTTTCTCATGTACAAGTCTTAACAGATACCGGTGTCAAAATTCTCAGGCCTATGCATCTGAAATCATAACAAAAATGTTATGTTAGAAATTGGCTGGAAAAATATTCTCTCAGGGTGATATGAAACTTGAGAAATGCTATCCTTATGGATGTGGCTACTGCGTCATATTCAAGACCATCTGGTCTGTTCAGCTCCGTGGATGCCAAGGTATTTCAGCCGGCAAAGCTGACACAATTAATCATGTGAGAACGAGACTCGTCTGTCATAAAAGCATAAATTGATATGGAGATTGTTGGAGAGGCCGGAGCCAGGCCGGCTGTGCGTTGATTGGTCTCAAGAGAGCAGGCTGGACAAGAGCTGCATTGGAAAGAATTCCATAATTCGGCTGTTTTATGGGAAAGGTAGTTGAAATTATTAGAATCTGGGTCTTGCTTATTTGCCAGAGGTTTGCGAGACTTAAGATAATCATAAGAAGTGGAATTTTGATTCTCGGAAAGTGTTGATTACATTTTGTCTGTACCATGCAGTACAGAAATGGAGGGAGGAAACAAACAAACAAACACCCCAACAAACAAACAGGCAAACAAGGAACCCAGTAAATTAACAGACTAAGTTCATTGATCTCTCCATAAATAAAGCACATTCTGAACCGCTAGTCCATTGCCATTGAAACTGGCTTTCTAGACTCAACAAGATGCAAACGCAGTTACCTCAGCTTTTCCCAAAACGAATTGTCAGATGAATTGTGCCGCAATGATTTTTTTCCAAGAAGTGGAGGGAGCAAGTAATAAGATGATTGCCGCTGTGACAAGCAGCTATACCACATGGACATTTGAGTACAAGGACAGTCCTTCGGGTTTTTTTTTCTTGATGCATGAAAGTGTAAAATCTGTCAAAATAACTTTGACAGGAGGGCAGTGATTCAGCTGAATCTATAGATTATTTGGAGGGAGAAGCCTGAAGTAGGCCTAAGAGGTTGTTTATAAAATGGTCCAGGGTGGCCAATTCATAGAAGTTTCCAATTCCTTTTATTCCGAAAAAAATAGTACAGTGGGCCTTTTCAGCTCATTTCTTTGAACACCTCATATAAGTGTTGGTAAAGAAAATGTCAGTCTGCAGAAGTGTATGCATTGCAGATGTCCGAACAAGTATGTCTTGCATCTTCCAGTTATAGTAAAACTGTTTTTTTTTTGGGGGGGGGGGGAGGGGGGAGCATTCACCATCCAAAATCCAAGCAGCTTTCTGACATTTTACATTATAACTGTCACCGTCGCATATATATCAATGCCCTCGTGTGAAATTTCTTGCACATAACCATAATGAAGTGGTGTCATTACGAAAGAAATGCATAAATGTATATTTTAAATAAATTGTTTTGTATCTTTTCCCCTATTTGTCTCTTTAAATTTGACATACCACAAAGTTGTCTTAATCTGCATCAGATGTTTTACACGACAGCTTTCACGAACATTTTCAAAACGTAAGCTTTGACTCCTGAGCAATGTCAATGAGCTTTCCCTCTGGCATTATTTCATGAAGTCTGTGCCAAACTATAATGCCGACAGGTATGTTGGTATGTTTGTCATGTTATCCGAGGATGTTCTGGAAAAGAAGGAAAATTGATCTTCTGTAAATCCCTCTTTGTTTAAATATTGTATTTTGGTTGCTGACAACTGCAAGTTTCGTTTATATTCGCAAGAGTATGATACCAAAGTTATGCCTTCAAACGCTGACTCCTTTTTACCCATAAGCAAGTGTTAAGGGAAAAAAACATTCAAATTAGATAATTAAATTTGTATCGTGCTCTGAATGCGCAAACTTTGAAGACAGAATGAAGGGTGTCATGTTTGCAAATTATGACCAATTTTCCTGCAGCAGGGCACTTCCACTGCTTCGCCTTTTTTCCGAATCGGTATTTGATCACCGACGAACTAATCAAATCATATCACGGAACGTGCCACCGCGGCGGGCCCGTGCCATTCTCTATTAATATTATCCAGGAATATTGATGCACGCGGTCCGCATTTCGTCGCACTCCGTCCAAGTTCATTTTGAGATTCACGACAGGTGTGGAATTTTAGTTTCAGGCGCGAAAGAATCTTTCAAAAGATGCGCGCGTGACTCACTGAGGATGACTGGGAGACGTGATGAAGTATTGCGTTTTCCCCTGAAGACAGCCATGATGATCTTCAAAATTGGGGTCAGCGTATTCCCCTGGTATGGTCTGCGTTCAATACAATTCAAAGAAGTTGCTGAGCTGACACTGAGATAGAAAATGTCATATAGATCATTTGATACATCATCAATCCAGCTGAATCATTTTCCATTTTACCTAGACCTAAATCCCATAGGCCTATAAGTAAAGTCTACCCAAAAGATTTCTAAGAAAGATGGTGTCGGATCGAAACGTCAGGCCTACTACATTTTGTGATTTGTATAGTTCAGGTATAAATCCACACCGGTATACAGTTTGCATCAATGTGTTCATTTTTCAAGCTGTATGTTCTTGACGGTATGACCCCCTGTCTTTTCCGATTATGTTGAGGCAAACAAAAACGAAAACATTGGTTCACAATCAGATGGATTTTTGCACAGTGCCTGGTTATGGCATCAGACGCTTTGGCGAATCCCCTCCCACTCCCCTTCCCGGCGACAACCTAACCCTCACCCCAATTTTAAATTTAGTCCCAAGCTAAAAAAAAAATCCAGCCACTGACAAGAAGTTTGATGAGCAGCCCCCCCCCCGACAATTCGTTAGTTGAGCCGCTACCTCAAACACAGACGGTTCTGATTATTTTTGAATGGGATTCCAATCCACGATGATTGAAGATTTGACAGCCATGGATTTGTTGTCTTACAACTGCCACCATACCTCCCTGGAACGCGTGTCAAAACTGGGTTTACTCTAATGGATTGGCTGCTGTTAACAGGGATGGATCTGCAGAATGATCTTCTGGCCATCTCGATGTTTTGCTTCCATTGATTGTTCATATTAGTTCCATCTCACTTACCTGGCGTTTTGTACTTGTTCACAAAACTAATTTTTGAGCACATCGTTGATATCACAACTGCCTCCTCAGTCCTCACAAGATGCCTCATTGTGCCGTGATTTGCTTTATTAAATGTTTCGCGTTGCATAATTCTCTGACAGGTGTATTTGAAATCGTGTCAAATTGCTTTTCCAATAAATGTATTTGAAGGGTCGACGTACTTGGTATCCTTGAACAATCGTCTTCTACTAGCACTAGATAAGCAAAAGTTTCAAGAAAACTCCCCCGCGAAGAAATGAACGACGTCCAATTAACTAGTAACCAATCACGGATTTTGTTATGGAGTTCAACCGTGAAGGATGTGCCAATCATGTAAGGCGTTGTATCAGTAGCGTACAGGTGCTGAGTGCACAATACGTTCGTGCACTGTATGCATTTATCGTCACGTGTACGTGTGTGTACGTATTGCACGTAGGTAGTTGTTTATATTTGTACGAAGGACCGGTTGGTAAGTTGTCGTGGAATCTCTTCCAAATAAATAACTGAAGCCACGTCTTTTTGAAGTTCTGGAATCATGTACGGGTATCTCTATTCAACGGAATTCAGTATCAGTGAGAAAAGGTTGAGATAGAAAGAAGAACTTGCCGGGCTTTGCAGCGTGATTTTGAACGGACTGGAGCTCGACGAATCACCGGCACCATGTCCAAAATTCTCTCCCGTTCGGTGAGCTTGCGGGACCCGGGCGGGCGATTCAAGTCGAACACCTGGGATAAGCTGGTCAATAGGAACCGTAACAAGAGGCTGCTAGGTGAGTATGTTGTCATGGACGTCGTGATTATAATATCAAGGTGCTTTTGAGGATGTACAGGGACACCAATTTTGCCGCTGTCAAACTTAAGTTGACATGGTTGAAGTGTCAACTTCAATGATTTGTCAAACGTGCATTGTTTGCACTGAACTTAGGCCGTTTGTTTTTCTTTACTGTACAACTACATCAGTACATCATACATGTACATTTATAAACAGAATATCGTGTATTCAGTGCATAGTTTTAAGCTTTCAGTTGCTATTGGAATAAAAAGAGCACATATATCTTGGTAGGAAGTGACAGGATAAGTTTCCCTTTAAAAACTATCGCCTTTATTTTTTTCATATGAGTGAATTATGACCATGGAGTTAATTAATGAAATGCAGGTCAAATTTGTCTCCCGGTATCATATTTATTTGTGCATATTTATCAGCCTATGGTTGAAGTTTTTACAATCGTGTACTGTCTTTTTCAACTTCCACTGTATTGTATTTTTCCCATGTTTTACTTGTCTTTTTTTTTCTGAATGTTATCAAAGATGTTTCATTCTTGCACTAGATTATTGTGTAAATTGATTTCCCCAACCCCAATTTGCCGATAATTATAATGAAAGCTTCCAATTCATGAAAAAAATTTATTGGCTGACAGGAAAAATAAATGACCCAAATGTATGTAATCCCTTGAGCTACATGTGTGGCAAATATATCACCTGAAATTGAATTGATGCATGCTCTCTGTACAATGTCTAGAATCCACAAACCTTTGGACGTAAGCATGGCATTTATGCCCATGGGCTGGACAGCCAATAATAGTCAGGACTTGATTTCATTTAATAGCCCAGCATTTCGAACACTTGTAATAACAAATGTACGCTAGTTAAACCTAAACTTTGTAAGTTGCCTGATGGGCCAGTGAATAAACAGACATGAAAGTATGAAAGTATGGTTCATCACAAATGCACTCACAAACATAATTGATTTCCTATTAAAACGTCGTATGCGAGGTATACTATGTAGTATATTTGTTTGTAATTACGGTAATATGGAGCTGAGTGAATGTATGCAACGAGGCAAATGATTAGTTTGTGTACAACCTGGACCAGTTTTATGGAGCTGT